TGAAGGTAAGGACGAAGAATCGTCAGTACATCACTGAAACCAAATATTATAGGTTTTTGTGCCAAAACTAATGATGTATCTTGTCAAAGGCCTTTTATATATAAAATTTACCAAAACACAAGACAATTGGCGAATGAAATTGGTGGAAACACTCCTTAAAATTATCAATTCAGCTTATACAAATGAAGCAACAATGTAATTCGAGCGCTGAGAAGCTTAATCGCGTTCACACCCTGAGAGAACGCGATGGAAAATTTATGTTCGACGTTGTTTAGTCTGAATCGCCCTCAAGGATGCTATAACTAATAAAGATGCAGGGAGAGCGTTGCGATAGCAACTTTGCGAAGTCAAACGACACCGATTCTTCGACAGACGGTGATGTAGTGCTCGCATTTATGCCACTGATGGCCATAATTTGTTTTGGAAGCGAAGGGTCCCACCTCAGAAACGTATTATGGTCACTGAATCGATTTTGTGTAGAAAAAAATACACTTAAAACTGTATTTTCTTATGATTCAGCAATAAAATCCCTTTATTATAATGAAAGGAACCTTAAATTGGCTTTGAAGAATCGGATACCCTCAAAAAAAATTCATTTGGCGTCGCGACGGTTGCTTGGACTTCGCAGCTCATCATTCTTGATGTTACTTTCAAACAGACAACTCGCTGAGAGTGATTTATATACAATTTTATGTTTTTATGAAAAGGACGCTTCATTTTTTCTCTCTCAAGCATTTTACGGCCTGTATAGAATAAGGATGGTTATTTGCCATCGCGTCAAATCACGTTCCATCAGAGTAAAAGTTGCTAATGGAGGAACAACGGTTACTGAGCATATATAAATGGGAATAGAAGGCGAAAGGGACGTTGTATCTCCCTTTATACAATTCTCTTTTATGGCTCCGTGCGTACAGTCAGAAAAAGTTTCGTCGATTGCTGCTCCGGATAAAACGTTCCGTAGAGGCTTAGATTAGGGATGTTTGTTCCGCACAAAGGTCAGAAACGTATTAACTGGCTCTGCCCTATCCATCGCTTGCCTTTGGTAGTCTATTTTTTTTTTAATTGAAGATATAGAACTTTAAAGAAAATATGCCTGGTAATGTCTGTAACTTTTAGTGATTTATCTCAAAATTGATACCTCCATCTTAAATGTACAGAATGTTTGACTACCGTTTACAGTGACAGTTAATTTTTTTCCAAGAACACTCCTTAAATGAAATATTGAATTTTCTCAATGTAACATCCCCATGGGTCGGCCAAAGTTCTTCATAAATTCGAAACGCGTTTTTGTTATTTCGGCAATTCAGATATTCCGCATATGCGGAGAAAGTAAGCAAAAATATATATTTCCTCTTTAAATAATTTATTACTATAAATATTTTCCTTTCTCTCGGTATCGCGAATTTTGTTTACGCTTGGGATGGATGACTCACAGCTCAAGGAGATACCTCGGTGTTTCTTGCGTTGGTTTTTTAAATATTATGTTTAGCCTTGCTGTATTTTCATAACGCCTTTATTGTACGCTACTGAATAACCGTAATTTGTTTTTAACATAAGAAAAAATGTTTTTTACGAGCGAACGGATTTTAAACACTATAACTGAACTGTTTATAGCCTAGTCAATGAAAACTTCGAGTTATAACACTCGGCTATTTGCATGTATGGTGCATAAAGACGAAGAAAGAAACGTAAACGCTGAAAAAAAATATTTTCAAACCCTCATGACCGCTGACCTACAAAGGTTTATCGAGAGTAAATTATTCGGTCATTAACCTAGTTTTTACTGATTTTTAAATATGTAGTGAACGACGATGGGTAAACATATTTTTTTACTAGGAAATCAGCTGTTTCCCTTCAGCGTTCGAACGCTTTGTACTACGCGTTCTCTATTGCGAAGTAGGGCGCCGAGTTAACGGGAATTAAGGGGTAATTTGCTTAGTTTTTAAAAGGTCCAGACAATTTTTCTTTTTCGATTTTCTGTCTTTACTAGGTTTTCCGAATACGTGGTGAAAATTAATGACATCATGACTAAATCGCCTTGTATACGAAATATCAACCAATTTCCGTGTTGGTTTCACAACTCCCTCCTTCAATTGTTAATGACTGACCTGACACAGCAGAGCGACTGACTGGTGGCAACTGTATAATGTATGTACATGAATTAGCTCCATTGTGCGAGATTACGAGATTTGCATTTTAGGTATTCCACCGACTCCGGGTGTTCTGGAATAGGGAGCGGAGAGGTTGGTCTTGATTAATTTCATTTGCTGGATTCAGGATCGACCGCTACAGCGGGTGGGAAAATATGGGGGACGGAAATTGTCAAATATAATCAAATCATCGATTCCAATTTTTGTACCCTGTGAAGTATAGTAACCAGTTGCGTGTTAAATAAAACTGTGATGCGAACGTGTAACAATGGCAACTTCCACCCCTGAAGAATAACTGTGACGTAATAATTACATCTGGTGGTGTATATTACTGTTAAGAGCTATTATAAATTTCTAGAAAATTTTCCACAGCTACTCGTACAATAAAAACGCCCGAATTACCATGCCATTAATTCCGTGGTGATTAATTGAAAGGGAATTTACCAAACACAAATTCTGTGAATGATTTTATGCTTTCAGCGCTATTACAACAGCAAACAAGTGATTCCGGGGCTACTAAAATCTTCGCTAATTGGCAATAGTGGTGGAATTATAACAGTGTCGGTAGTAAAATCGTTTGGATAGGTGGATGTTTGAGTTAACAGGCTGTTACTTGAATGATTAAATAAACCAGTCTCGTATAAAATACCATAGCGTTGCGAAATATAAGCATCTTCGGTCGAGAGCAACAGAATATACGTTTAAGAGAATTGAGCGGTTTTTATATACACACAAAAATTTCAATTTAATTCCTACTTCACATCACTGAAAATATGTGTGTCAAAGTTTTGATGCTGTACTCAGAGGATACAAAAAAATTAAATAAAATTTGGGACACGTGGTGGTAAACGGGATGAGGTAAGCTCTATTTTCCATCGAAAGTATTATCTTTGGGATTTGACAGAAACGACTAATGATGTCGTCAATTATATTTCTTCCAGACACATACCCAAATTTTTTTCTTGTTAAAAAGCTCTCTTTTTTCTAATACACTTTTATTAGAGAAATTTTTCTGTATGACTACCCGTTTAAACCGTTTATGCACTTTAAACAACGAACATTCAATTATTTTCCAACGACTGCTTGCCAAAAAAAAACCTTTTTCTACTCAAAAAGTCTTCTTTGTATTTGTTAATAGAAATGTCATTTAAAACGTGTGGATAAAATTTAGTACACTCTGTAAAATTTGATGAAATATGCCAATAATACGAATATACGACCAATAAAGCGATCTGTAAAACGATTCCCGTTAAGCAACCATCTCCGTTTGTCTTTTGTTCTGTCGTATTACTCCCAGGCAACTGTGATCATAAAAGTTTGAATCATTTTTCACGTTTTTCCGCCGTTTCCTGCGCACTTTACAAGTTTATCCAATTTAAAAAGAAAGAAATCTCGCCATTCCTCTCCTGACGGTGCTATCAGCCGGCTGTATGCCTCACTTTTGAACGGGATGAAATGGTCCGGTAAAAAGAACACGGAAACACTCTCATTTTATTTGACTGCACTATTTATAAAGCGGATACCTTAACTTTGTCAGCGACAAATGACTTGTAGGAGCTCCCGAGATGCTAAGGACGTGAAAGGGTTAATACGACCGATCAGGGTTAGCATTATCTCGAGCGTAGACGTAAGGGTTTGACATTGTTCATTATAAACGAATTATTAATATTGGCGACGCCAAAATGTAGATATTTTCCGTTATAGTCTTTCCGAAGTCAATTGGACATGTATAAAACGCCTAGCAATAAAATTTAATGAGGCGTCCCTTAAAAAAGTTTTCTGCTACAGGTAAAAAATTTTAATAATTTGCATACAATGTATAGAAAATTGGCCAACATGTTTTAATTATTTGTTATATTGGTGATAAATTTCGTTTTGTTCCTTTTAAAAAGGTCTCCAAAATGCCATGTTGTAATAATATTAGTAAACAAAATATGCCTTTTATTTCTCCCTTTCGCAATTGTGATATGCGAGATTAATAGAAGGTGCCTATAATAAATTATAATTACCTGAATCACACCAAATTCCGCATTGCTGCACTGCACTGCTAGGCAATTTGTCAACCACTTGTCAACAACTAAGATTTATTGCCCAGTTGCCCAGTGCGGATGTGTTACACGCCGTTTGCCCTCACGCGCATTCTTCAACCGAGCGTATACATTTCTACCATTTCCACGTTTAGTTGAACCAGACCTGTATACGGGTATGGCTAAATAAATATGGGAATAAGTTATTTTTTTCAATTTTTTTTTTTTCAATTGAGACTATGGCTTGTAAACATTTATGAAAGCTCTAGCAACCTAAATCGAATATTTATTCTCCATACTCATTACAAACAATCAGTTATATTTTCACAGCATATAAACGCTGAAAATGTTTATTTTTTTTAATGTGATTCTATAAGTCGCTGAAAGTTAAAGTGATATTTTAACGTTTTCAGAACGACACGTCCCATAAAATACAAGAAAAATGGAACTAATTAAGTTCTGTAGATACTCGAAAATCATTTTATTATTTACAATAACAAAAAAACCCAATATTTAGTAACAGGGATATTTATAACACATATTTTTAAATTTGTTTTTCCCATATTTAATGTCACAGGAACTTAATTTAGTCTAGTTAATACGTCAGTGGCTGTTTTTGTAGTATTACATAAAAAAATTATTAGAAATTACTATTTTCAAGCTTAGATTTTCTTTTCATGCCATACAACTCGATTTCTTGAATATTCCCTAATGTAAAAGTCGATTTGAGTTCAATGAAATATTTCAAGAGGTAATTACTGATTTCTAAGAACGTTTCTCCCAATACGAAATTTTGTAATTAATAATTAATTTCCCTTATTCCAGGTGAAGACATTTACAAAGAAAAGTCGACGGGTCAATGTTACAGGTTTAAAAAATTTATAGGAGGTAAGTGTATGTATTAATTTAAAATTGTGTTTTTGAAGCTTCCTATATTTGTGTATAATCATTTAATAGACCAGGGCGGATCAAAATTCAGTTCTAAAACTTTCCTTCCTCTTCAATATTCTTCCAAAATGCATAGGTTCCAAGATATAAGTAAAAAAACTCAAATAAAATAGGCATTTTAAAATTTTTTTAAACATTTTTTCAATTTCTCATAAAATTAGAACAGATTAATATTACGAATCATTAAAAAAATATTGTCCCAATCATTACTTCAATTGCTTGTATTTTATTTACGCTCGGCAGTGCCAACAGCGGCCAATAATACAAGCTAGTAGCTTAACTGTAAACCTACTTAATTTAGTCGTACCAAAATCTTTGAATCTTCGAAATAAAAATAAGTTTAACCTCATTTTTGCAGAAAAGGATCGAAAATCAAAAAACAATCACGATACACATGTTACGTGTATCGTAACACAAATCTTTCTGTACTTTCGAATAACGTTAAAATCAACCTTCATATTTGCTAGTACTTCTTGTTCATTAACGAAGCAACTCTTTCTAACCCCTTACACTTGTAAAACTTTCTGCTTGGAGAAGCCGAAGGACTGTCGTCTAATTAAATATGAAAGGTCACATCGTAGAAAGCAAGGTGCTAAATTCATGCATAAGATTTGTCCGCGAAATGAAAATTTTAAGTGAGAGACTACCTGGGGGGTAGCAGGAACGCCAGCAGTATTTAGCTAATAGCTAGTAATTGATGATAAAATGCGGAAATAGTAAGATATTTCTATACTAGTTATTTTTATGTTAATCTTACAATTAGTCAAGAATGTGTAGTTGGAGTAACCAAAACAAAATATATTTCTCCGAAAAAAACAGCATTATTTCGCAATTTGACTATGTCAGGTATGTGTTTTTACCGCATCAGAAAATGCACTCCAGATTGAAACTACCCCATAAATACAATGCAGAAAACATTTAAAATTAGTAAACACTTGTCCAATTGACTATACCTATTGTGTTCCTCAGGGTCCTTACCTTGGCCCACTTATCATTCTGGTTTTATTAATGATTTTTTATGAAAAGCCAACAACTTCTTCTGGTAGCTATGGTCGACTATTACATATGTTCCTTCATCTTCTTCTGTTTCTTCCCGGATTTTCCAAATCTTCTCTTGACTCGCGTAACCATTTTCAACAATCATTTCCTATTTCCTGTGCTACTAATTCTTCTAATTTTAAACGTGTCTCAGCCATAATAATTCCTATTTTTTATTTTGTGTGACGTCGCTTCTTCCTAAAATCCCCCTTACCTCAATCTACTTTATCTTGTCGCCATTTCAAGCCTGCTCTTCACCCTACTCTGCTCCTGTCCCGTGTTCTCTAACGTGAAACACGTTTTTCATCCAAAGCCTCTCCACTGATGAGAAAACGAATAACAATTAACTGTCCCCTGAAAAAAGACAAAACTGGGACGCGGACTTTTCACGATTCCACGTCCGTATTTAATCCATTTACATTTATTTTACCGGCTCCCCGGAACTTTCCAGGGCGACAGGAAGTAAAGGACAACCGAAACCGATTGCGAATTCGGTATGAGGGTAATTTAATTTCACTCTATGTCCCGAACTTTGCGCCCGGGATATAATTGCGCATCGCATGTGGTACTCAATTAATTACGTACCCATATAAGATAATTACCTAATGGGTTTATTTTCATACGGCGAGTGGGCGCCTCCTTTGAACTCGGTTTCAAATCGCGCCAGCGAGTTCGAATTCTGCTGGATATACGCGTCTAATAATGGAAGAGGACTTTCTCAACCAAAAGTGACAGGTACATGATATACGTTTCTTATGAATTTGAATCGACAGACAGAAAGAAATGTTGATGTGGTTCATAAATCCTTATAAGTTGTCACATCTACGAAGCCAGATATTAAAAGTATCATCAACATATCTGCACCACCATTTCGACCATGAATTTGTTAATTCCTTTCTTCTCAAAGACTTGGATACAGCTGGAGACAAGGGTGAATAAATAGCTGTACCTTCAATTTGTTCATAGAACTGATCTTTAAAGAAGATGAACCATCTGATATGCACTTTGACAAGTCTACTAAATTCTCATCGGTACCTTTAATTGACTCTTTTGTGGACGTCAATTCTAAGCTCACTAGGATAGCACCTGGATCTAGTTGGATTCCTTTGGTATTACGTTATTGGAGTAGTGATTCGTGTTTTGAAACGATTGGGTGTGTGGCCGATCCAACTGTAGCCACTATTCTGATACTTGAACAACTGGTTGACCAAAGAATTTGAGTAATTTGAGCTTCTTGTAACAATCTGATATACTCTATCCATAGGTTTTCTCTTTAGGGAAAGAATCAACTACAGGAACTATGTTTTTTTCTTTTTAGAACGACCAAAATCAGTGAAAGAATTTAAATATTACAGCAAGTAAACAAACCCAGACAATAGTTCTATTATCACACCGTCTACGCTGGTGTAAAAATAAATCGGAGGCGGTCCATTCACTAGACGGTTGACGTACCTAGCATGGCAATCGGTCAAAAAGTTCATAAAAATAGTCCGCCATTCTACCAGTTATTTCTAGATAGACTGGCCAGTTTGTTTAATTAAAACCCAGAATAAACCGCGATCTTGTGGGCCAGTATTATGATAACAATGCGATATTATTAACTTTCCCAGCAGTTTGAGAGAAGTATATCGCAAATATTTAAAAATTAAATCAAATGAGTGAACGCTGCCGTACGTCCGATTTCTACGGGGTGGCTCAATGAAAACAGATCGACCCTGTATGTGTCCCTCTACTACCATTATTTAGGTCTTACGTTGCTAAATGTTGTAAATATTACAATGGAGTCAATTCTGTAAGGTGTAAATATAACACTAACTGTGGCACTTATTTCTGATGAAAATTATATTTTTCAGTACTCTCTTAACAGATTGCAAAAGGCTATAAAAAAATTTGATTCGATTTTGTCTCAAAACCTTATTTAGAAGCTGTACTGTTGTCAAATCTCATCTTACTTGATTCGTATACTAGTTTTTTTATAATATCACAAAGAAATTTAACAACGACGACACACATCACACCAAACATTGAAATAAATAACATGGATTGATATTATGTCGCTCGCATTAACTAGGTCATTGTCAAAGGACTTTGACACTGGCAACGCACTAACGCGGATACTGACCAGTGGAAAATACTTCACATTTTTTTTAAATATTCCACAACCAGTGGCTCGAATTTAAAAACAAACGCACCGTTTTGTAGGCAATTTAATAAGCTCCAAAAGGCCCCTTTGCTATTCATTTAAAATATACAGTCACCTTAGCTTAAAAACTTCCAATGGGATCTTTTCGATGAGCCACCCTGTATATCTGGTTTGGTGTCATAAATCTGATTTGTGTGTTTCTGCAACATATGCCAACTTCCCACATCGTGTGGGATATGTTCAATAGGAATAATACGTTCGGCAATGTGTGAATAATGAATTTCAAATTGATTATGCATAGGTAGAGTTGTTCCACTTGTTTTTTAAAGACTTTTTCGATAATTCTATTAAACAAATACTAAAACTTAATAATAACATAATAAAATATCTTTTAAATAATTTACTACTTGTCAAACAGGGTGTAAAAAACATATTTAAAGCAAATAGTACTTCGTCGTTCTTTATCAATGATCTTAGAGGTTTTAGGCATTTATTGTTGTATTTTTATCAAGAGCTTTTTATTACAAGCTTTTATTTAACTTGCTTATTCCCAGCCGATTGAGCTTAAATGTTGCATACAAATTTAGTTTGGATGACAATGCATGGTTAGCTAAGTGACGTCATTCTAAATCCAATAATGGCGGACTCCCAAAGATCGCGGACCAGTTATTTTTTATGCACCCCCATAATATGGGTATCAAATGAAAGGGTTTGCTGAGAAGAATACGAAAATAAAATGACGCCACCAAAAGCTTATTTTAATTTTTTTATACATGAACTAATTTAGCCATGGCAATAACGATTTTAAATTAATAAAAATTTTCTTTGATTATAATTGTCAAAAATAACGTACTGCTTCACGAAAACAAAAAAAAACTTTGAAACACACGGAAACTTCAAAAGTCCTCTTTATTTGTAATGGTACAAGCTTAGGACATTATAACGAAAAAACTTACAGCACTTTTCCTGTAAAATTAAAAAAGTTTTACATAACCAGATGATGTTTCAGGCAATTTATTCCGACTAAATGAAACAAAAGGCAACAGAAGTCATCCTCGAGTGATATTTCGTTTTTTAAATATTGAGAGAACATTTAAAAGCAATCTGTAAAAATTAAATTTATTCCAACTGCTTTTATAATATGTACATATTACTCGTATTATTATTATTCTTACAAATGTACTACTGCTGATCATTTAATTAATAGTTTTTCTGTATACGGGGTGATTCACAACTTATCCAAAAAAATTTGAGAATAAATGCGGCATGAGACATGTAGTCAATATAGTAAAAAGAATTTTTGTAAAATCCTTATAGTTTCCGAGGAAAAAATTATTGAAGTTGTAGTATTTTCAACCATTACATAGCTGGACTACTGTAGCTTGTAGCGTCATTCGTAATACGCGTGGAGAGCCACGTGGCCTCAGCGACTTCGAATACTGAAATCCGATTTTACAGTCGTCGTTGCCATAATGTTTACAATAGTTTTTTAGTAGTTAGTGATGGATGCCGTTTTAATTTATGGTGAAGCAAGAAAACATTTGCATTATGGTGAAGCATTTGTGTTATGGTGAAACAAGGCAGCATTTGAGTTTCTTCGTAGAAACTGAGTAAGACGGACCCAAATGTGTTTACCCGTCGGTGGACAATATTTTGAATAGTTGTAACATTAAAATCACAAATTAATTTTATTAATTAATAATAACAATAGCGGCAAAATCAGTTGAATTTGCTAATATAAAATAAGTGCTATGAAATT